CTAGACTTGGTACTTTTTATATTTGGTACTTTTTATATTTTGTCGTCTAGTGACCAAACTAACCATACGTACAGTTTGTTTTTACCACATTGAACTTAGAGTTTTGAGGTTACAAAAGATTAAGTTGGGTCCCCACTATAGATGATTACTCAATGGACTCTCGCCTCATTTGTTTTGATATCTTATTAATGTCATCCCTTACAAGGCGTTTAGTCAAAGGATCAGCCAAATTTTTATTTGATCTTATATATTCTACACTAATCACTTCATCTCCAATTAACATTTTAATGGAGTTATGCCTTCTCGCAATATATGTAGATTTTCCATTATAGATATCATTACAAGCTCTTACAATAGTAGCTTGATTATCACAATATATTGTCATTATAGGGATTTGATTTGGCCATATGGGAATGTCATATAACAAATTCTTTAACCATTCGAACGCTTTGTTGACAGAATCTAAATCAATAATTTCAGATTCCATAATAGAGCTTGAAATACACGTTTGTTTATCCTATGATATGACACTACTTGCTAATGTAAATATCCATCCGGATGTTGATAGTGAATCTTGGATTTCATTATTCTAATTAACATCACTAAACCCTTCCAACACTCCTGGATAACCCACATGTTTTATGCCAAAATTAATAGTTACTTTCAAGTATCTTAATACTCGAGATATAGCATCCCAATGCTATTTACTTGGACAACTTGTATATCTACTAAGTTTGCCAATGGCATATGCAATGTCTGGCCTCGTGTTAGTCATTGCATACATTAAACTACCAATTACCCTAGCATATTCAAGTTGAGATATACATCTCCCATCATTTTTCTTTAACTAAATATGAGGATTTATAGGGGTAGAGACTGGCTTACTATCAGTATGCTCAAATTTATTAAGCATTTTCTCAATATAGTGAGATTGAGTCAAGATTAATACTTTTCATCTTTTCACTATTTCGATACCAAGTATCACATCAGCTTCTCTTAAGTCCTTCATACCAAAGTTAGATGCGAGGAATTTTTTAGTTTCCTCCACAATTTCTATATTAGAGCCAAAGATAAGCATGTCATCCACATATAAACAAATTATGACACATAAAGAATTCATTTTCTTACTATATGCACATTTATCCACCCCATTTCTCTTAAAGTCATTTGATATCAACACATTGTCAAATTTCTTGTGTCATTGTTTAGGTGCTTGTTTTAGTCCATAAAGATATTTTACCAATTTACAAACTTTATTCTCATGACCTGGCATTACAAACCTTTTGGGTTGTTCTATATATGTTTCTTCATATAAGTCACCATTTAAGAAAGTAATTTTTACATCCATTTGATGTATGACTAAATGATTAAGAGAGGCTATTGCTAAAAGTAATCTAATGGTAGCAATTTTTGCCACAGGTGTATATTTGTCAAAATAATCAATGCCTTTTTTTCGTTTAAAACTTTTAGCAACTAATTTTACTTTATATGTATTAATAAAACCATTGGAATTCATTTTTCTTTTAAAAATCCATTTGCAACCAATAGGTTTAGAACTAGGTGGAAGATCTACTAAGTTCCAAGTTTTATTAGCTATTATGGAATCCATTCCATTATTAATAGCTTCTCTCCAAATATTACATCTTGAGATGCCAAAGCTTCATTTAGAGATGTAGGATCTTCCTCCACATTTGAGACTATAGGTAATGAATTTAAAATTTAATTTTGATTAGCCTCAACAAGATAAATATAAAAGTTGGGTCCAAAATTGTAAGATGGATATCCTCTAATTTTCTTACTTTTTCTTGGTTCATCATCACTGTTTTCTACATGTTCTTCATCAACATTATGATCATTTTCATGATTACTTTCATTTTTCATGCTGCTTGATTCATTCACTTCACTTTTACAAGTGAGATTTTGCTTGATTCATTCACTTCACTTTTACAAGTGAGATTTTCAAAAAAGTCTGCATCTCTAGATTCCAAAACTGTATTAGAATTTAGATCCAAAAATCTATAAGCTTTATTGTTTCGATAATATCCCAAAAAAACACATTTAGATGTTCTAGAATCCAATTTATTTCTTTTAGGATCTGACAGACTAACATATGCAAGACAATCCCATACTTCGAAAAAATTCAAAGAAGGTTTTTTATAAAACCAAAGCTCATAAGGGGTCTTATCACTCTTTTTATATAGAATTCTATTCAAAATAAATTACGCACTCAATAAAGCTTCTCCCCACTTGTTAATGAAATGAATAAGTCTTCTACGTATATTGTTACTTCTTATAATGTATGGCATGGTAGATTAGGACATGTTAATTACACTTCCATTAAATCTTTGATTAAATTAGGATTAACTTATAATTATTAACTAAAGAAAATTTTGAAGTATGTATATATGCTAAAATTACCAAAAAACCATTTCCTTCAATTGAAAGAAATAGTGAATTGTTAGGACTCATACATATTGATGTATGTGAGCTAAATAATGTTCTAATTAGAGGTGGTAAAATATATTTTATTACTTTTATTGATGATTTTTCTATATTTTCTTATATTTATTTGTTTAGACATAAAGATGAGGCTTTTGAAAAATTTAAAGTTTTCAAAGCGGAAGTTGAAAATCAACATAGTAAAAAAATCAAAATTATTAGAAGGGATAGAGGTTGAGAATATTTATCAAATGACTTTAATGAATTTTGTGAAAATAATGGTATTATTCATCAAGTAACTGCTCCATATACCCTTCAATAAAATGGACTAGCGGAAAGAAAAAAATAGAACTTTTGTTGGTACCCCTTGCCAACAAATGCACCATTTTTTGTCATTAACAAGATCAAACTTGAACATCTCACGCATTTTTAATCTCTCTGTTCCTCACTTAATCACTCTCTTAATCTATCTCAATCTCCTCTTAAGCTTCTCTCTCTTTATCTCTATCTCTTTCTCCCTTAAAGTTCTCTTTCTTTCTTAACCCCCTCCTCCCAGTCAGTTCTTCTATCTTAATCGCCTTTTCTCTCTCTCTCGATCTCCCTCTTTCTCCCTTAAAGTTCTCTCTATTTCTTAATCCCTCTCTCTCTCTCTCTCTTTCTCTCTCTCTCTCTCTATTATTCTTAAATTACTCACTTTCTCCCAATCTTCTTACTTTTTTTCTTAAATTACTCTCATTCTCCCAATCTTATTTCTCGCCTCTCACCCTACTCTTCTTGCTTAGACTGCTCTTAAGAAGCTCTGCTGAGGTTCATCCTTTTTGAGCTTGACCCACAATATTTGATCCTTAAAGCATCCTCCGGGGTATTTCTGTCTATCTCTCACTCTCCACCTCTATGAACCTCTCTCTCTCTCTCTCTCTGTCTCTCTGTCTCTCTTTCATCTTCAATCTTCCTCTCACTCTTCCCTCTCTTTCTCTTAATCAAAATTTTCTTTAGTTAATTCATCACAATTATAAATTAATCCTAATTTAATCAAAGATTTAATAGAAGTGTAATTAACATGTCCTAATCTACCATGCCATATATTACAAGAAGTAACAATATACGTAGAAGACTTATTCATTTCACTAACAAGATGAAACTTGAACATCCCATCACATGGTACTCCTTGCCAACAAATGCACCATTTTTTGTCATTAACAAGATCAAACTTGAACATCTCTCGCATTTTTAATCTCTTTGTTCCTCCCTTAATCACTCTCTTAATCTATCTCAATCTCCTCTTAATCTTCTTTCTCTTAATCTCTCTCTCTTTCTCCCTTAAAGTTCTCTTCTTTCTTAAGCCCCTCATCCCAGTCATTTCTTCTATTTTAATCGCCCTATCTCTCTCTCTCGATCTCCTTCTTTCTCCCTTAAAGTTCTCTCTATTTCTTAATCCCTCTCTCTCAATCTCTCTCTCTCTCTTTTTCTTAAATTACTCACTTTCTCTCAATCTTATTTCTCGCCTCTCACCCCACTCTTCTTGCTTAAACTGCTCTTAAGAAGCTCTGCTGAGGTTCATCCTTTTTTAGCTTGACCCACAATATTCAATCCTTAAAGCATCCTCTGGGGTATGTCTCTCTTTCTCTCACTCTCCAACTCTATGAACCCCTCTCTCTCTTTCTCTCTCTTACACACACATCCTCTCTCTCTCTCTTTCATTTTCAATCTTCCTCTCACTCTTCCCTCTCTTCTCATCTCCCGCTTCACTCTTCTTGCTTAGACTACTAAGACTACTCTTAGAAGGCTCTAATGAGGTTCATCCTATTTGGGCTCGACCCACAATATTCAATCTTTAAAGCATCAACTAGAGTATTTAGACTTAGTTTGATGCCTTTCTGTGCCATTGTTGATGTCTCCAAAGGGACGCAACGCTGAAAGGCTGTCAGATTGCTTAGTGACCGCTCTCTCTCTCTCTCTCTCTCCTCAATATTTCTCGTTCTCAATGTTCTTCTCTTCTTCTTCTTCTTACTTGCATCTATTCATTAAGAAGCTCTGTTGAAATTCATCATGTTTGGGCTCGACCTATAGTATTCAATCCTTAAAGCATCCTCCGGAGTATTCAGACTTTGATTTGATACCTTTTTGCACCACCGTTGATGCTTCCTAAGGGAGGTGACACTGGAAGGCTATCGAATTGCCTAATGATTCTACTTTCTCCCTCTCCTAAGTATCTCTCCTTTTCAATCTTCTTTTCTTCTTATTCTCTTTCTTCTTCTTCTTCTATTCATTAGGAGGCTCTGAAGTTCATGATGTTTTGGCTTAACCACCAATATTTTATCCTTAAAGCAACCTTCGAGGTATTTAAATCTAGATTCAAATCCAAAATTTTATATAAGGTCCTTAAAAAAACCAACTCCTCCAAGAATTCCAGTTGTGGAAAAAAATTTGGTCTCACATTGAACTTTAGGCACCAATGTTTCAATTTCAAATTTCAAGGTTTGCATGCAATCATTTCCAGGATAACCAGTTTAGACAATCATAACACAATCACATATTGAATTAAACTTTATAGAAAAAAATTTAAGTTAAAACCAGAAACAAATAACCCAATACATATATACACATTATGTCATTATCCTCCCCAACATGAGAGAGAGCACCCAGTTTTTTGAGAGAGAACCACTTATCCCATTACCCAATATCAGATATAAATCACCTAGGTCTTAGAGAGAAAACCACTTGTTTTAGAGAGAGAGCCACATATTAGTTCCAAAACAAGACAGAAAAACCAAGTAGTTTTTAGAGAGAGAGAACATCTCCTACTCAACAACTCCTTCCGCAGACACAAGCACTTTCACCTACCTAACCAATGATCAATAACCCAGAGCATACCAATATTCCATTCGAGCACCACATGAAAAAAATCAAGTTACAATGTTATCAACACCTAAAACCAAGAGAACCCGAAGATCCAACATGTAGCAAAGAACAATGATGCAATTCTATGAACCGAGACAACACAACACAAAAGTCTTCCAAAGACAAGGCTTATGCTGCAGTCTCTGCTTCTCCTTGTAAGGAAATAATTTCACCAATTCTATGTGAAGCCAATATGCACTCGTGCACCTGAGACCTGGGCAAGTAAAGTCGATATCTGTCAAGTAAAGTAAAAAAACGCAGGAAACAGAAACTAATCAGTAAGTAAAGTCAGTATCTTTATCCCCACGTAAAATCCATAACAATAAATCAGATGTATAAGCAACAATATAATAAAGCATAAACAAATAATCAAGATGTGTCCATGAGCATTGAATAGATATTTTGCTAAAATATTCATTGAACCATACACTAGAAACACAATTGACCTGCCCAATGATCAATCACAAGCATCATCATCGTTGCAAAGTGTCGAAAGAACATAATTACATGATACATCCTCAACTAAATCTAAAAGGTAAACAAAATGGTAATAATTAACTTGTAAAAGTAATTACAATTAAAAAGAACATGAAATCAATAATAATTTAAATATGGAAAGATACTCATTTTCTACCCTTAACCTCATTACGAAGCCAATCTTTTGCACACATCAAAGCTTGCACTGTCTCTGGCTTCAATGAGCTATGATAATCATCAAGAATGCGCCCCACTGTGCTAAATGCCGACTCTGATGCAATTGTAGAAACATGAATAACCAAAACCTCTCGGGCCATCTTGGAATGGTTGGGAAACTTAGGTGCATTGGTTTACCACCAATTTAGGATATTGAAGTCTACCAAATGGGAAGACATGTTCCTCGAGGTATAGGTCCAATTCTGACTTTGTAGATAAATTGCTTGATTCCTCATTAATGAAAGTTAGAAAGTCCCTTGTTAACTTCTCAATCTTGTTCGATTTCTCTCCCTCTTTCACTCCACTATCCAAAGTACTCCCAGGAGCTACCAGCTAATGCTTTATTGCTTTCATAGTCCTTAAAAAGATCATAAATCCCATCCCGAACTATATTTACTTGGTGCTCTGCATCATTGCCATAGATTTTGGAGTAGTAGAACTGCACCAACTTGAGGTTATATCGAGCATCAATCACAACTGCTATAGCCAAAACCAAAGAAAAAATCTTCCAATACTTATCAACTTTTTTTTCATTTTGATTGCCATAGAACTTATATGTTCTTTAGAGCTCATGCTTCATTCCATCAAAGCCATGTGAATCCCACATATCGAAATAAAATACGTATTAGCAGTTGGATATTTAGATCCTGAAAATGTACATGTGGCATCAAATAAAAGTTTTAGACAACCACATATTTCTTTTTCACTTCCCATTCACTCTCAGATGGTACCAAATAGGGCGAAAATTCATCTTGTGCAAAACGATGAAATGCCTCCATTAATGCTAGGGCCACATCTAACATTTTAGATGTCGAGTTCCCCCGAGTTGGAACATCAAGGCATATATTTTTTTTACTTTCTATTCGAAGTAGGCTAATTGTTTCATTAAATCTTTCCTGCCTAGCTTGTGTGCCTGTGATATACTTGATACCCTCTCTAATTTTGTGAACCGCAACACCTATTGATTTTAACCCATCTTGCACAATAATGTTCAAAATATGTGCACAACATCGCACATGAAACATCTTACCCTCGAGGACAAGGAATGAATTTCGATACAATTGTCTCTGGAGGGATGATGCTGCAACATCATTGTATGCTACATTTTCAAGAGTAACTATAAATAACTTGTTTTCAAGCTTCCAATGCACTAAAAGATCTAAAAAAGTTGTAGCAATGACCTCTCCTGTATGAGGAGATGATACATATATGAAACTATGTATTCGTTTCTGTAATTTCCATGATTCATCGATATAATGTGCAGTTAAGCACAAATACCATTGATTCCGATATGAATACCACATATCAATGGTGAAGCTCACACGACTTGGAATTTTCTCTAGCTCCATGTGCAATCGCTTTTTCTCACTCGTGTAAATTTTCATAACATCTGATCTTATTGTGAAGCGGGAAACCATCTTAAACAATGGTTGAAGATTTTTCACAAAATTTTAAATCTTTAGTGTTGGACAAACCTAAATGGGTAGTTATGTTGGATGATCATTTTTGCAAGATCATTCCTACTTCTTTCTTGATCAACTTTAAAATTCTCTAAAGCAACCTCCCCTTTCTTGATTGATGTTGTTAATAATTGTAGGCCTAAAGCTGTATGCTTTCTCTTTGTACATCTTCGTAAATGGTTATGTAAATTACTTGTCCCACTTGCACTTCCTCATGTTAGCTGTACAGAACAATGCTTACACCTTGCTTTTACAGAACCATCTTGTTTGTTGATCTTATCAAACTCGTCCCAAACAATACAAACATTTTTACGTTTAGAGGTCTCAGATAAAATCTCTTCTACAGTAGTTTGCACAAAATTATCTCCAACATTAGATATTTACTAATAAAAAAGAACACAACAGCATCTAAAAAAGAAAATAGCAATAGGAATACACCACAACAGTAGCATAAAAGACAAATACAATTATACCTTCGCATCTAAAGAGCACACAAAAATAAATTCTATGCCCTAAGAATTTAATCCATTATTCTAAGAAAACGTAACATAGAGATGAGCAAAATACTGATAATAATAAATTAAAAAATCACAATCTAGAGACAGTAAATAAAGAAATATTTATTTCTTGAGAGAACTCATGGTTCCCAAAGTAATATCCATTTTCTGAACCAAAAAAGTGCCCACTTAAATGGCTAGTAAACCAAAACAGTTTGCGTGATATAAAAAACAAATAAGTAAATAAAAAACAGAGCAGAGCAAAGAATTTAAAGAGGCATTTCTGTTGATATTTATGTTTCTAAACATGATAAATCAATAAGTAACTTTCTTGGTGCGTGCTCTACAAATCATTGGCAGAGGAAGTGTCTATATGGGGTTGGGAATATTAATTTCTTGCAATTACACTATAAATTCAGCACCAAAATAAAATATGAGCCCTAGGAATTTAATTCAATATTCTCAGAAAACATAACACAGAGATGAATAAAATACTGATAACAGTAAATAAAGAAATCACAATCTAGAAATCACATAACGATAACAATAATTTCTTGCAATAACACTATAAATTCAGCACCAAAATAAATTATGATCCCTATAAATTTAATTCAATATTCTCAGAAAGCATAACACAGAGATGAACAAAATACTGATAACAGTAAATGAAGAAATCACAATCTAGAAATCATATGCTGATAACAGTAATTTCTTGCAGTAACACTATAAATTCAATGTCAAAATAAATTATGAGCCCTATGAATTTAATTCAATATTCTCAGAAAACATAACACAGAGATGAACAAAATCCTCATAACAGTAAATAAAGAAATCACAATCTAGAGAAATAGTAAAAAATAAAAATAAAAGGGATCGAATTAGGGTTGAGGATTCCAAGATCTTCAACAACAATAAAAAATAAATAAATAAAACTAAGAATGAAAGAGATATCTCAAAGATGACAGATTTTACAAGTTCTTCAGAGGTTCGTTTGTTAATTAATGAAAATGCAAGGATTTGAGCAAGAAAACTAAAGATAAATTAGGGCTTCTTTAGGGAATTTGAAACTACAACAAAATATCATAAAAAATAACTGAGAAATGAGAGAGAAATCTAAACTTTGGCGGAAATTTTTTTCTACTCGCAATAACCCTAAAAAACTAATAACGATGAACAAAAGTGAGAATGGATTGGGCAAATACCTTTTTTGAGCGACTATGTTTCAATGGTCAGACAAAAGAGCGATGGCCGATGGTGGCTTCAAGCTTGACAAAATAGCAGCTTGAACCCGTAGAACGTTTGGTTCAAAAAGATTTGTGATTCACACTGTGTTTGGTTTAGAAAGAGAGAGAAGCAAGCAACCTGTGTGTTTGGTTTAGAGAGAGAGAAGTAACGACTGCACTAAACCAGAGTGTCTAGGTTTGGCACAGGTTTTGTTTAGACAGAGAGCTGATGGATCCATCCCCACCATTGATCCTCAATTAATATACAGTGGAGATTAAGTTTTCTAAAATTTAAGCTGTTGTAAATATTATATTATATACCACATATAAATTAAGCAAAATTGCATAACACTCCCAAAAACATCGAGCAATTTTACTCGAACTCAACTTTTCTCAATAACTTTTTCCCCTAAACCAAGTTTCCTAGCAAATACCCCCAACTCAAAAAAAAAAAAAAAAAGACTAAATTACCCCTCCTTTACCTCGCACGTTGACCATAGCAGTCCGACACGTCACCATGGCGGTTTGGCAATTCATCATAGCAGTCTGGCAATTCATCATAGCAGTCCGGAGTTTAAAAGAGGCGGTCTAGCATTTGTTTCTGGATTAAAGAGCGGTCCGGCATTTGTGAGCTACAATCCTGCATAATTTAAAATTGTGTTTGGAAACAGTGGGGTTTCCTTTCATTAGGCCCGAAAATGATTTGTTATGTACAGGAAGGGCATTTTCGTCAAAAAAATGAACTTTTTGTATTGGGGCTATTTGTTATAAAACTTAATTTTTGGGAAAAAAATGCAAGGAAAATTAGGGTGGGGTAAAGTGCTTGAAAAGTCTATTTTTGGGGATTTTATGAAAAATTTCCTTAAAAATTATAACTTACCTATATAAGGGAAAGCTTTTTATGCTTCCCCTACAGCATCGAAGTTCTATTCTGCCCCACGTTTTTAACCATTTATTTAAAATAGAGGGTTGGGATAAATTCACTTGAGTTGTCACAAAAGGGGGCACGGACTCAACCAGTAACTCTTAAATAGCATGTAGAAGAGAGATAAGGAGTAACCCATTTTCCATTTTAGAGAGAGAGAACGCTAGAGAAAGGAAGCCGAGAGAGACAGAAAGCGCATGACAAGAAGGGGAAGCTATTGATCAAGAAAAAAGTGTAGAGAAGAGGAGATAACCAGCAAACTAAAAAAGAAGGTGGAGTATATACGAGATACATTATGGAGCATTCCCCCCATTTAAGAGCTCAAAAAGGTTTAAACAAAGTGTTGCAGGTGGAGGATTCAATCTGACTTTCCCAATTTTTGTGTTTTCAAGAGCTTAAGTGTTAAAAAATTTTAGCTTAATTAGCCCCAGTGAACACCAAATCCAAAAAATGCACAATAACAGGGGTTTTGGCTTCAATAGAGCTTTTTTACTGTTTGGCTTCAATAGAGCTTTTTTACTGTTTGGCTTCAATGGAGATTCGACAAAGTTTTTTTTTTGGGTGGTTTGGAACGTCTTTGGGGTTTCTAGCTTGGAGCTCTAAATGAATGTAAGAGAGAGAGATTCAAAAACTACTTGGATTCTCGCTGGTTTGAAGAGAGAGAGAGAGAAAGGGTGAGGTAGGGAGAGAGAACGAGAGAGAGAGGAGAAAGAGGGTTTTCGGTAAATAGAGGGGCTACAACGTAGAAGAACTATCATCTCTCTATCGTTGGTTTCTTCTCCCCTGTTGTCTTTCTCTCACTGGTTTCTCTTTTCCCCTACTCGTGCTTTCTCTCTACTCTAGCATGCCCTCTCTCCCTCTTTTACCGGGAAAGTTTTTGGCCAATCGGTTTAGCTCAGTGACTCTTTTTTGTGACATTTTGTGGGGTGATTTGAACCACCCATTTCAAATGAACGGTTGAAAAAGAGGGGGAGGATAGTTTTTCTATGCAGTAGGGAAAACATAGAAAGCTTTCCCCATATATAATATAAATTGTTTATAACTTATATATATATATATATATATATAGAGAGAGAGAGAGAAGAAAAAAAGACTTCAGTGAGCCCATTGGCTCATGGAACAGTATAAGCCACGACCG